GGCCACCCCGCAGCCTCATGCAAAAAACGTCTAAAAAAAAAAAAAAAAAAAAACAAGAAAAACTTCTTAATTTACCCAAGGCTCCCCTGCAGTGCTCCATTACCTAAAGGTTCCTCATAAACACATCATTCATGCTAAGAAACGGACACCCCAAATAAGGAATTGTGCCACATTCCAGAGGCCCAAACAGTCTGGGCTTCCCATCCCAGACTCACTCCACTCACTTCCACTTAAAATGTGTTACTGAAGCATGAAATTGCTGGAGCAACAGAGATTGTAGAGTGAAGAGGAACAACTAGCCAGGAAAAGGAATCATCTTCAAAATACATTTATTCTGTCCTCTCCCCATGTTAGACCAAGTGACCCACAACGATAGCAAAGAGTACCATGCTACTAAAAAACAGAACAGAATAGCTAAAGCCAGGAATTTGACTACCTAAGTAACACTGGACACCCCCAAGTCCCAGTTAGAAAAGAAGATCTGGGAAGTTTTACTGTGCATTTTCACGGTGATCCACTTAACACACGACATCTCATAAAGTCATTTAGGGCACCAGTGTGTGAGCACCTGTATCATTTCCTGAGCTGCCACATCTGCATCTAGCCTGCTAGCATTGATATGGATCCTGTTTGCTAAAAGCTACTTTGAAACAGCAAGTATTTCTGTTCCACTTTTGTAATTGCCTCCTTTCCGTCTCTCTAGGAACTAAGGAATATTACAAGCTGTTTTGCAACTGTTTTGTGATTCTTCTGGTTTCCTCGGTCTGCAACATCCTGAACCCTGACCATATAATGTCTCCAAGTTGGGGCTCAGACTTTGGAATATCCCAGACTCCTCTGGGTGCGTCGATGTACTAACCCTGAGCTCTCCTACTGTGAGTGGCACTTGTTTCTCGGCGCTCTGTTTTCTGCAACATTTCTGGCTCCCTGACCAGGAAACCAACTGCGCTGGCCCTTTAAGCCACCGTTCTGGCGGGAAGAATCTGCCAGGAAAAAAGGGCCCCAGAATTGAATGAGGCAGCGCCACCTAGTCTTTTCTCAGATCCTTCATAGGGTCCCTGGTGCTCCATAGGAAACCTACCCCAGACTGGACTGGATAGACAGATGGACCAACTCACAGGCTGGAAACCTCCAGCCCACAGGCTGAACCCTCCGTAAGGTGAAGTCCTGGGACCCGGGAATATTCAAGTACACCCCGTGTGGGTGGAAGAGGAGTCTGATTGCCTCCCATGGTCTCCTGTCAGAGCTACCAGGCCACTGCGTGGTCTCCTGTCAGAGCCACCAGATCAGGTCACTTGCATGGTCTCCCATCGGACCCACCAGTTCAGGTTGCTGAGTGGATGCCTACCAAACTCTGGACCAACAGTTGTCAGAGTCACAAGTTGGGGACCCTCCCAAAGTGGTGAGGGCACTGCAGGGACCCTCCCAGGGGGGGAGGATACTGTGATCAATTCCAGAGTGCCTATGTGAATGTATGTACATGTGTCTGTTTCTGTGGCCCCAAAGTCTTCAGGCCATGGGGTCTAAGTATGTTCTCGCCCGCATTTCCACGGTAACCTCATAAAGCTCAGGGCAATGCCCGGTGCTGCTGGACCTGGTCCCTCCCTATACACTGGGTCCGGGCCAGGGGCTTATACTGATTGTCAAAGCTAAAAGGCACCTACAGTTCTCATGAAGGATGCAGCCAGGTGGGTGTCTGACTGGTCACCTCTCTGAGGGGACACCCATCCAGTGTTTGTCATGTGTCACCGTCGCAGGGAGGGATACATCAAGGGGGGATTTCTCCATATGCCCAAAAGGCCCCTTATGCCCCTGAGCTCTCTGCCAATTTACTTCCATCCCAATCTGTGGGTCCAAGACTTGCCCCTTAAGTATCACGGAGGGGAACTGGCTAGACCCCCTCTTGTGCTAGCTGACTGCAGACGAGGAGCTGTTCTTCCTGTGCCACCTCTTACCTGCTACCGGCTCAGCCCCACAGCAGAGGCAGAAAGCACCCTTGGTCTGCGCACCGCATAGGTAGCATCTGCCACACCTACCGTGCCTGGGCAGGAGTGGGGCAGCTGGACATAGCACAGCACCCGGCCTCCAAAACATGCTGGCCTTGCCACCGAGGCCCCAGTGCAAAGACCTGGGCAAGCACCACAGGGATGCAGAGGGCAGAGGCCCCTCAGCCTCTACTTCTCAAGGATGCTTACCAGGAGAAGCTGTCTGTGGGCCAGTCAGCCAGCACACTCTTACTCTATGTCCAGGCCCTGCGGTATGTCCCCAGGGAGGTGACCAACTTCCACCTCGCGCAGTACCTCTATCGGTCCCCCCACATGCAGGTGCATGAGAACAGCTGGATCTGCATCCAGGAGGACACCAGCCTCCTCTACCTTAACCAGAGCCTGGACCGCAGCTCCTAGAAGAAGCTCAGCATCCACAATGATGGCTTCCCCCACACACACTCACCATCTACCTCCACATCTTCCTGTCCCCATGTCCCTACATGAGGCAAGTGCCATTGGCCTAGCTATGCCTGTGTATCCTTCTCCTTCATCAACACTTCCT